TATAAGCATACAATTAAATGAATATATCATATAATTAATTTTCATTTTAATGCAATTATTTATATTTTAACATTTTAAAGCACGTCAATTGTCCAGAGCGTGAAAGGTACATTTCACTGTCAAACATAATTGGCAACAAGAACAATAAATTTATTAATTAAATATTAAATATGACATTAAGGCAAGCATTATAAATAAGTAGACACAATCACGTACAGGGATATGCCATTACAATAAAAATTGCCTTTCACAACATTCAAAAAACGTTGCGAAAGGCCTTTTACAGTGTTTTACCATATGTTGCAAACCTTGATGTTGTCGTAAAGGATACAGCAACGTTTTTTTCGCATTGCGAATAACTTTTTACAACATTTTGTTCACGTTGTGAATAACATTTTCGCATTGCGAATACCCTTTTTGCAGCATTTTTTGACCGTTCCCAATACTTATATTCATATTTTTTGCAACATTTTTTGAATGTTGCCGTAGGTTATTTTATATATATATATATATATATATATATATATATATATATATTTATTTATTTTTTATTATTTTTTTTTTCCAATTTTTCAACTTTTTATTTGTACAATAATTTACATAAACCAAAACATGATAAAGATAATAATATCGAATAACTCCAATAATCATTATTAATTGAACTCCAAAATATAACAATATCCGTACAAAATTTAAATCCAAAATTCTTAAGCACCTAAGAAAAAAAAAAGTGGTGAGTAAGACAGCCTCATCAGCCTCCATACTTTTCTTCTCCGCAATCTTCCACACAAGCTTAGCCTTAACCACGACGGGTTAATTTTTCGGCAAAACTCCATTATCCAGAACCTTAAAGTACCGGCTACAGATGGGAGCATTAAAGCTTCTTGAGGAGGCTTTTAAATGTTTCTGAATTGAACTCGCAACAATTCAACACACAAACTGATTCACATTAATCATGTTACAAACTCGAAGTTTTATCACCTGTCTGCAAGAAACGGAAAAGCATCATATCAACATTAGCTCTAATAAGGCAAGAACATTTGGTTAGTTTTGCTAGCATCGTATCAACATTAGCTCCTGTAGTATGTGCCAGTGACTTCAGCAAAAATCATTCATTTTGGTGCACATTCAAAAAGAAAATGATCCAGCAATCAACCACAAATTGGAAAGCTTAATTAAATACTAAAACTAGCATCATCCTTATTCTCCAAAGACTTCAAGTGTGCTTGACCGCTTGTGGCATTTGGAGATACAGCTTAGAAATTAAACTTATCAAATGCATCATCTTGTCTTTCTTTTTTTTCTTAACTGTTACTTAGAGCATGTTTATCTAATCTTTAAAAAAAAATTTCCAAACGTGTTCGGATATGATAAAAAATTAAATCATTGCTTAGTTCCAAATATGATCAACAAAGAATTACATATCTAAAAACTTGTTCACATACCAATGAGTAAATTTTCTCACAAAGGCAAGGTGGGAATGGCATAAACAGAGTCCTTTCTAAGAATTAAAAACACAATGGCATTTAGTTCTTTCTACAAATGTTCACAAACAACTCGATTCAGAAAAAACATTGTTTTGTACCATCTCCAAACCGATGGTTAAACTTGAAACAATTTCAGAAAAGAGACCTTGAAAGATTCAGTTTTCTAAATATTGTAAATTAATTACACTGCAGTTATGGTACTTTGATGATAGAATTCAAACTATTATGAATATTATGCATATTCCATCAAAATTGAACCCAAAAAATATCTGCTTGGTAGAATGAAACTGTGCAACTTTTAATATACACAGCATAAGCATGCTAGAGATGGCAAACCCCAGGCAGCCTAAAAGAATTTTACAGCCTTGAAATAGTCTGATTTAATAATGGAACCTTTAGGAAATATAATAAAACAATACAGTCAATGAATGAACAAAAACTTTTCACATTGATACGTTCTAAAGAATAAAATACATTTAAAAAGCTACAAATAAAGGAGAACTGAGACTTACAACTGGGAGTAGTGAGCTTTAGAGTGTGGAAGCAAATATCATAGAGGGCCACATTATCCAGAACCATACACTCATTAGCATTCTCAACAAGCTGGGGTATTAACTGAGTAGCATTGTACGGCTCTACAACTGTGTCAGACACTTTTGGAGATGGAAACACTGAAAATGTAAGCATCATTCGATCTGAGTATTCTTCCTTTATCTTGGGTATCAACAGGGTCCCCATCCCCGACCCAGTGCCACCACCCAACGAGTGACATGCTTGAAATCCTTGAGAATACAAAGACAATTCATCAAACAAACCAGCATTAAGCTGTATTGCAGTAGAAATAGAACTTCCACACATCAAACATCCAAAAGGCCAATATTGTTTTGTGGAGAGCAGTTTTGTTAAAATACTTTCAATGAGCAGAAAGAAATTTATCAATCATCTTCCACAAACATCACAAAACTAAAGAAGCATCCACAAGTTGATACAAACAACTTATTTGCACAACTCTGGTACATCTGGCCAAGATACAATATTTCCTAAATAAAGTTCCAACAAGTAATACTAATCTTTTTTCATTAGTGAAATGTAAATATGAAGCCAATGTGTCACCAAATTTCTATTTACTCCATTTTTGAGTGGATTTGATACCAAATAAAATTTCTTTGACAGACAGTTACACACTATTAATAGTACATCACTATTGCAAACCTGTAACTGGCTTCATTTTTGCTTAAATATTCATACAATCGTGCATTCTTGTCTCTATACAAGTACTATTAGACCTGGTATTTCAAAGGCTCGTTAAGCACAACATATAATAACCATGAACAACAGAATGCAAGCTTGGGTAAAATGCTTGCTAAATATTCTGTGGCGTGGTAATGCAGCATTTCATGAGTGTGCACACTACACATGCCGCTTATGGTCCATGAGATCAAAGTTTGGACTAAAATATTTTCAAAGAGCAAGCCTTGTACATAGATCCATTAAAATACTAAAGACAAAATATATTTGAACCCAGTGATTTTGCACATAGTTTAACTTTGAAGAAGATCTCCAAATATTACATGAACCTTGAGGTGATTGAACTCAAAACATTATCATGGACCTTTGCTAAGGAAAATTTATGATAACGCTTAAAGTGATTGAACTCCAAATTATTCAGAACAATTATTCAGCACAAATTTGAATAAATTCACTACAGTTGTTATGGGGTCTTGAGCATATTTATAAAAGAAATAGGCTGCTATTTTTTTTTTTCCAGTTCTTATGTTACAATAACATGATAAATAAACAGGTGTCACCATATAGATATGTACAAAAGTAATATGCAGATAACTATCAAACAAAAATAAGAAACAAATAAAGGGAAAGGAATAAGCTCTTTACTTTTATAAAAACCCATGACGGCATGAAACCTTCACCTAACACCTAGGTAAGAAGTCCTTGGACGTCTTGCAGCAGCATGTCAAATGAATAATTTTTATTCTTATTTTAATGGAAACTGATTCCCAAGTTACAAAAGTAGAAGATAGTAAAACAAAACATAAATGAAGATTCAAGGTTGAGATTGCTTCTAGCTGTTTGAAAATGACATCAGCTCTTGCCTGCATTACACCATATCTCATTTTTCATATTGAGTTGCAAGAACACGACACAAACAGCTCAAATGTAAATTATCCACCTATATATTATGCTAATTTAGAGGCTCAGTTGATCACAAA